AGAACTCGTTTAGGCTTCTTATGAACTATTTGGTTTAGTTAAATTTCTTAAAATAGCATCCAAAGCTGTCAAACAATTGGCTCTACCTTACCCGCTCAATTTTTTCACTGCTTAACACAAACCTTAAAGTTCTCTTAGTCCATTGTGTTTATCCCATTGTCTGTCTCTCCTCACTAGCCTATAAGTTTTACAAGGAAAAGGTTCTTATCTGTTTTGTTCACTTTGACAGTGTCTGGCACAAAGGAAACACTTAGTAAATATTCATTAATGAATGGATAAACTAATTCCAGTTCAGTAATGGAATAATGAGCACCCCTCACTAGAAAGCATTATTCCACTATTTAAGCAAGATATAAAGTAGTTGTTGCAAATGATTTTGTTTAAGCTAGTGACTGAATCTCTCAGAATATTCTAATTCATGTTAGTCATTTCTTGGTGTGACACTTCTATGTCACTCGATAGAGTACGTTAATACATTTCATAATACAATAAGAACGTATTGCTTTTTTATACTATCCAGCACCTCTGACCACCGCTACCAATAAATGACCAGCATATCTGGGACAGGCATTCTCAAGTCATCTAATGGCAGACCTTGGAAAGTTATCTTGGAAACTAAATTAGTAATTAGAAAGTTGCTTGGTGAGCATGGCATCAAAGCAAAGGGAGGTGAAATGGTTTTAAGAAATATATTATCCAATTTTTTATGAAATCTAATTCACAATGATCAAATCTAAATAGTTTTGCAAAAACACTGCCAGTTTCTTGTTCTTTGGGCCACCTCTATTCTATGTCACATGTTGTTTACCTCATTTCTGTTCACAGAGTCTTTCTCCATATAGTATAAAATATAAGCAATAACAATATAATAATACTACTTATTAAATTACTACCACATTGGGAGTTTATATCTCTGGCCATCTTATTAGTGTTTGGGGTTTCCTCACTCTTTAGCCATGTAAATTTCTTTTTCTTTCTTTCTTTCTTTCTCTTTCTTTCTCTTTCTTTCTTTCTTTCTTTCTTTCTTTCTTTCTTTCTTTCTTTCTTTCTTTCTTTCTTTCTTCTTTCTTCCTTTTTTCCTTTTTAATAATGACGTATATTGAAAAGGACAGTGTTGAGATTTTGCTGGCTTATTTTTCAGAGAGTTACTTTATTTCCAAGTTTTAAAGGTTATTTTTTAGTTGTCTCTAAGCATTGCTGACAGTGAAGAGGTAGCAAAATGACAGAGGTGTAAATGAAAGTTTAACTAGCTAATCCATCTGGCCATGACTTTAAGAATCTCTGGAACATGTCATTTGCTAAATATCAACTAGTACTTGTGTATGAGTAACTACTACATTTCTTTATTATTTTTTATCTCCCCAAAGCACCATGTACAGTAATGTGCACGTAGGTACTTAAAAGCTACATGTTAATTGAATATAAGAATTTTTTAAATTGCTTGTGGTTTAAACTATAGTTGACAAAAATCATGAAGTATATTAAAATTTTAATCTTAAAGTCCAGATAAGAGGAAAAACTGAGTTTAGAATTAGGAGAGAGGTATAAAAATAGTTTTTAAAAAATGATCATCTGAGTTTAAAGGTTATATGGTGTTGTACCATAATAAGAGAAATAAACATTAAAACTTTAGTCTTGAAAATAATCTAACAATACAAGGTTAAGGGGAGCTGGCTTGTAAATCCTGAGTCATTCCAGATACTGAAATTCTATAACTGCTTACATTCCAGTCCTAAAAAGGAAGATATGCCATTTTGTCTGGATGGCAAATTTTAACTATCTGGTATCTGTTTATTTCATTAAAAACAAAAACAGAAAGTTCTCTTAGTTTAAAATTCTGGAGAAAAGTTAACCCCACATGACAATAAGTATCTTGAATATTAAGAAGAAAAAAATTATGTTTTAAATATGTTTTTGGATTAGAAGAAGCAATTCCAAGAAAGCAGTATACATAAAGCACAAGTTATTTTATTCCTTCAAAGTCATATATATAAAATATATATATATATGTACACACATGTACATATATACTCATGTTTTACCCCAGTTCTGCTCTTGACTTTCATTAGCATTCCTTCAGTACACAGATGAAGGTATCAATACACACACACACACACACACACACACACAGAAACAGACAGACAGAGAGGGAGAGACAGAGAGAGAAAGACAGAGACAGAGACAGAGAGAGACAGAGAGAAACTATATAGGGGGAAGAGCTCTAAAATGATAAATCCAAGCTATAAGTCTCTATTGCTAATTCCACCCCAATAGTCAACAACCACTTTGGAATATTATTCCGCACCTATGGATAGAAGTTATAGAATAACAAAATGTAAGAAAGAGGGAATATAGAAATAATCTATTCTAATCACTTCATTTTTTTTCAGGGAGAAAAATAAAGCTCAGAGGGGTTATATGACATACTCAAAGACATTCAGGTCTTTTACGTGCAAGTTAAATACATCAGACCTGAGAAAACATAAGAAACTGTAGAAAAGTCTCCAAATCAACACATACTTATGTCCTGAGTAAATAAATTATCTGAGTCTTATGTTTAGGGGATTCTCCACAGTGACAACTGAATCCAGCTTGAGGATAAGCAACACAGAAACCGTAAAACTATAAGCTGGGTGTGATAGCTCTCAGATGCCATGGGTCAGGCTCACTCACAGCATTGTTCTATAGGGCAGTGGTCCTCAAACTTTTCATTCTCAGGGCTCCTTGATACTCTTAAGAATAACTGGAGATGCCAAAAAACTATCAGTATTTCTTATATTAGAAGTTAAAACTGAGAAATCTTAAATATGTATTTATTAGTTCTTTAAAAATAACAGTAATAAATTCATTTCTTGTTATTTCTTTTTGAAAAAGAACTATTTTCAAGAAAAATTTTAAGGAGTAACATTGTTTCACATTTTAAAAATCTCTTTAACATCTGACTTAGTAGAAGACAGCTGGATTCCAATATCTACTTCTGCATTTTTTTTGTTGTGATATTTTTCGAAGTATACATATATTTATATATTGAAGTACATAACGAAAATCCAGTACCAAACAGATAGGTAGTTGGAAAAGGAATATTTTAATAGCCTTTTCATATAATTGTGAATATTCTTTTGTTCGTTTGTTTGTTTGATTTGTTTTTATAAAGTATGTGCTGTTTCATGATACTTGTCAATTGTGGTAAAATATACATAGCATAAAACTGACCATTTTAACCATTTTTAAGTGTACAGTTTAGCAGCATTAAAGATATTTGCATGTTTGTGTAACCATTGCCACCATCCATCTCAAGAACTTTCTCACCTTCCCAAACTGAAACTTTGTCCCTATTGAATCTTGACTCTCCATATGTGAATATTCTCTGATATTGCATAAAAACCGCAGAAGTTGTTGTTTCTTAATAGTGGGTAGCATGTGGAACCTGAAACCATATCACTGTACTTTGTGTACTCTGTTACATTAAAATCCATTGGTCTGTCACATTTTTCAAAAATCCATATATAATTTTTATAATTTATTCTCATTTTTTAAAGTTTTATTATTTTATTAAATTTATTGATTAATAAAATTATATAGGTTTCAAGTAAACAATTCTATAATACATCATCCTTGTATTGCATTGTGTGTTTACCACCCAAAGTTAAATTTCCTTTTGTCACCATATATTTGACCCCTTACACTCTGATCTACCTCCCCACCTTCCCCTTCCCTCTGTAACCACTAAACTGTTGTCCATGTCCATGAATCTGTTTGTATTACTGTTTGCTGCTTTCAGATTTACATCCCACATATAAGTGAAATCATATGGTTCTCAACTTTTTATGACTTATTTCACTTAGCATGATAATCTTAAGATCCATCCATGTTCTTGCAAATGGTAGTATTTCCTCTTTTCTTACGGCCGAGTAATATTCCATTGTATATATATGCCACAGCTTCTTTATCCAATCATCTATCAAAGAACATTTTGGTTGTTTCCATGTCTTGGCCACTTTGAATAATGCTGCTATGAACATAAAGGTGCATATATCTTTATAGATAAATGTTTTAAAATTTGGGGGTAAATACCTAGAGATGTGATTGCTGGGTCATATGTTAACTCTATTCTTAATTTTTTGAGGAACTGTTTTCCATAGTGGCTGTACCAATTTGAATTCTACCAAACATGTAAAAAAGAATAAATACCAATTTTACGCTAACTCTATTAGAAAAGAGAAGAAACCTTATACTTATTACTAAAATGAGACAAAATTTCAGATAAAAGTTGGGCAATTTCTTAAAATGCTATACATACACCTACCATACTACCCAGCCATTCCACTAGTAGATGTTTACCAAAGAGAAGTGAAATCTTATGTCCAAAATCTCATATATGAATGTTCACAGCAGTTTTATTTATAACAACTAAAAACTGGAAACACTGCAAATATTCACCAACAGGTGAATGAGTAAACAAATTGTGATATATTTTTACTATGGACTACTATTCAACAATTCAAGGGAACAAACTGTTAATACATGCTAACAATCTAGAATGAATGAATTCCCAAATAATTATGTGGAGTGAAAACAGGTAGACATTTTCATAATATTGGGTAAGAAAGTCCTGACAAACATGCCTCAAAACTGGAACCAAAGAAAACATCATTTAAATTTACTAAAAAAAAGAAATTTGACTTATCTATTGGTAAAACATTATTAACCAGTTAGCAAGATAGTTAAAAAGTAAGAATATATGAAAAGATACTAAAAATCAATATAAGAATATAATAGTAGGCAAAATGGGAAAAGGATTTAAGCACATATCACTTTTACAATGAAAAACTAAAAGTGAAGCAATATCCAAACTACTGTAATGCCAATCTACTAACCAAATGTTAAGACCCTCACCAAAGGTCTAATAATAAACCATTAGAAAATTCTGACAAATAAATAACTTAGCACACTTGAGTTAGGCTATCTTTCATTCTGCAGTTTAAAATAAATTTACTTACTATTTGTTATACGTTCTTGACTTCTTGCAATCCTGCTCTGTATAGATTTTAAAGGTGCTTTTTTGGTACCATGTATGGTTGTAGTGGAGAGTTCTTTCAGTTTCCAATGGGTCCAAAAGCCTTTTTGAGGTCTTAAACCTGTTAAAAGAAAATTTACACTTAACCAAATAAATTAGGATTTTGAAAATATCTTTTTAATTCATCAAAGCATTTTTACCAGTATTGTAGATTTCATTCTTACAACAGTCTTGTAAGAATTGTCATTCTCAAGTTTCAATACAGGAACTTCTATACAGAAAAGTTAATCTTATTATATAAAACAGTGAATTAGAAAAGAGCTAAAACTTGGTGTTCAGGTAGCTTTGGATCAAAATGGCTTAGGTAAACACTGTGTTCTTCTCCCCCGATGACCACAATGAAATTACAACTAAACTACCAAACAATCATCATTGAGAATCACCTGAAGTCTAGCTGAACAAAAGTCCTATAATAATGTCATACAGAAGAAGTCCCTTTGAGACTGATAGGAGGAGCAAAGATGTGGAATGGGGCTGGTCCGACACTCACGTGTGGCAGGTGAGATTCAGAAGAGATATCTTAGCTGTGGAAGTCCCTCCTGGAGGAGCAAGTGGTCCCAGCCTACATCAGTCTCCTCAGCCCAAAGTTCTAGTACTGGGAAGAAAATATGCCATAGCTTCTGGCTGTTAAAATACCATCTAACTTTACAAAACTCAACGGTAGTAGAAGGAAGAAATAATAATGATCAGAGCAGAAATAAATGAAAAAAAAAAGAACAATAGAAAAGATTGATTAAACTAAGAGCTGGTTCTTTGAAAAGGTAAGCAAAATAGATAAACTTCTAGCTACACTAAGCAAGAAGAAAGTGAGAGGGCTCAAATAAATAAAATCAGAAATGAAAAAGGAGAAGTTACAACTGATACCACAGAAATACAAAGGATCATAAGAAAATACTATGAACAATTTTACACCAATTATACATAAACTTAGAAGAAATAAATACCTAGAAACATGCAATCTTCTAAGACTAAATCATGAAAAATTAGAAAATTATAGGCCAATATCTTTGATAAACATAGATGCAAAAATTCTCAACAAAATATTAGCAATCCAAATTTAAGAATACATTAAAAGAATCATATACCATGATCAAGTGGATTTATTCCAGGGATGAAAGGATGGTTCAACACCTGCAAATCAATGTGATACATCACATTAACCAAATGAAGAATCAAAATCATATAATCATCTTCATAGATGCAGAGAAAACATTTGATAAAATTCAACACCCATTTATTTATGATAAAAACTTTCAACAAAGTGCGTATAGAGGGAATGTACCTCAACATAATAAAGACCACATATGACAAACACAAAATGATGAAAAGTTGAAAGCTTTTCTTCTAATATCAGGAGCAAGACAAGGATGCCCACTATTACCACTTTTATTTACTATAGTATTGGAAGTCCTAGCTAGAGCAATTAGGCAAGAAAAAGAGATAAAAAGCATACAAATTGGAAAGAAGTAAAACTGTCACTATTTGCTGATGAAATGATACTTAATATAGGAACCCAGTACAGTAAAGTTGTAGAATACAAAACCAATATACAGAAGTCTGGTATTTCCCCCTCCTTAAAATATGAAAAATAACCAAAGTACCCATCGATAGATGATTGGATAAAGAAGATGGAGTATATATATATATATATATATTCCATTGTATAAATATACAATGGAATATTACTCAGCCATAAGAAAAGATGAAACTGCCATTTGCAACATCATGCGTAAATCTTGACATTATCATGCTAAGCAAAATAAGTCCAACAGAGGAAGTTGAGAACCATATGATTTCACTTATATGTGGGATATAAAATTGAAGGCAACAAACGAACAAGACAAACAAAAACTCATAGACCCAGGTGACAGTTTACTGGTTATCAGGGGGAAGATGAGAGGTGGTAAGGGTAAAGGGGGATCAAATAAATGGTGATGAAAGGAGATTTGACTTTGGGTGGTGAACACACACGATACAATGCACATATGATATATTATTGAATTGTACACTTGAAACCTATATAATTTTATTAACCAATGTCATCTCAGTAAATCTAATAATAACAAAACAAAATGAAACACTTTCTTACAGAAATGGTTTGGTTAGTAAGAACCGACACAAAAGTTTCAAAAATCAGTGAAAATTTAGACCAAAAGATTTATAAGGAGCACTACTTGAAAACTGTCAATAGCTTTGTGTAGTTCATAATAGCATTATAGTCTTAGAAAAAAAATCTTGGAAGGTCATTCCAGGAATATGCAAATATATATTTGATTTAAACCTAAGTAACTAAATCTCTAACTAAATAGGATAGAATCTTATTTCCCTTTAGTCTTTCAGTTCTATCACTCCCACCTACGATCACCTCATGATACAAAAAAAAATTCCTTTAACTGATTATGTGTTCTACTAGAAACTCAACTAGCTCTAGAATTCACTCGATATTATTAGTTATGTCAGTACTGTTCTAAAAGCAACTTAAAATATTTATCTTCCATAAAATGTATATGGTATGACTTTATTTGTGTCAATTCAATTTTGGCAATCATTTCACTGCCTATAAAATTATTTGGCTTCTAAAGTTCATAAACTGATTAATTTTAGTATGATAAAAATTTCAGAAAAAATAAATAAAACATAGGAATCAATATGGCATGTTTTATAAGCCAAAGAACTACTAATTTTTTGACTGGAGCAAATGAAATCCAAAAATTTTAGGTACCAAAATGATGCTCAATATTTAAACGACAATCATACCTGACAACCAAAGAAAAATATTATTCCCTAGATCTTCTTTAAATTCATCATTAAAGAGATTACTGGATTCTGGAAATGCTTCCTGGAATGTTGCATAGATAGCTTGTGCCAAACAATCAGGATACATCTGCCAAAAATAGTCATATTAGAATAATTTCATATTTCATATAATGTATCTCAACTACCAAAGAAATTATTAAGTTTGTAAAATATACATGTCCCTTTTTTGTTATAGCTTTCTTTAGGCCATTTATTATCTCTTTATATCTCTAATTGAGGAATATAAAGAAGAGTTGAAAATACTAGTCGGTTTGGCTATTTGTTATCATTTGGGGAAAAAAATTAATTTGGATAAAAGATGAAGTTAATGATTAAGATAAAGTTTGATATTATGTATTTATTTTATTTGATCTTACTATTGTTATCCTGTTTTATAAATTGATGTATACAGGCCATTATAATAAAAAGTATATGTAAATATAATTGACACATAACTGTGTAATTTTAATGTGTTCAATGAGTTGATTTGATACATTTATATACTGCAATGTGGTTACCATTGTAGCCTTAGTTAACACTTCTATTATGTCACATAATTATCATTTTTTTCATGGTGAGAATATAAAGCATATTTTTAAATAATTGAAGCCTGTTTATGTGAGTTAATATATTGTAATAACTATTGTATTATTTACATATTAAAATCATGATAATGTATCAACAAGTATATTGTTCTACCAGTATTCTATTAGTAAAATCCCTAGACTACTAAATTCCTCTCAGGGAGTGACTAAACATAGAATGATACCATATTTTTATATTAAAGATTAAAAATATTTATTAACTATTTTGGTACTTTGCATTCAGATAAGTATTTACAATCACACATTTACCCTTAATAATGTAAATTTTAGGATCAAAAAGGCCCTTTAATGGTTATTGTCCTAATTCCTGGAACCTGTAAACTTAGCACAAGAGATTTGCAGATATCACTAAGTTAAGGATCTTGAAATGGGGAGACTATCTCGAATTATCCAGTGGGCCTTAAATGTAATAGAAAGTGTTCTTATAAGAGGAGTGCTGAAGAAAATTTTATTATAGAAGAGGAGAAGGAAATGCGATGGCAGAAGCAGAGATTGGAGTGATGTGACTAGAAGCCAAGGAATGTTGGCAGCCATCAGAAGCTAGAAGAGGCAAGGAATGGATTCTCCCCTGGGAGCTCCTAAAGGAACTAGCTTTGTTGATACCTTGATTTTAGCCCCATAAGACTCATTTTGGACTTTCTGGCCAATCTAACTGTAAGACGATTGATTTCTGTTGTTTTAAGCTGCTAAATTTGTGATAATTTGTAATAGCAGCAATAGGAAAGTAACACAGTCACCTCGTCCAGTGGTGCTCAAATTTGCTGGTTATTGATAGTATTCTTAGAAGAGCTCTATGATTTTCTTTCTTTTGGGGCAAGGGAAGAGTGAGAGACTGCTCTAATATATTGATGTATTTAATTTTATTGAATGAACCATGATTATTTGATGACCAGAAACAATCACACATTTTATTTGTGGTACATAAAATCATACTAATGATTAAAAGTAAAATATTGAAAAAAGATGAATGAGGGGAACTTCTAAAAATTTTCTCTGAATACCTCACCTTCAGGAGATGATAGGAGAAAAAGAGATCAAGTGTCAAACTGCGTTGGGAAAATTTTAAAGGAATATTGTTGTATGATATTGGAAGAGAGGGAAGTAAAAGCCATACTAAATATTTAAGTGAGATAAATCCGATGTGCCAATAGTAACAAAACCCTCACCTATTTGAATGAATTAAAAATAATGAAAATTGGTCAATGAGTGATGAGGCTTCACTTCCACTTAAATAGCTCTGTAGAGGATAGACCTGTAGGGAGGTTGCCTGGTTCTCAAACATATAAACTAGGAGAGGGAACATTAAAAGAAGACTGAACACAGGTCAAAGGGTCAAATCACTAAGGTGTATAACTTGTTTGTTCTCAAAAGAAGATTGAATTTTGATTAAACAACTTGTAATTTCTTTTTAGAAAAAGCCACTGAAAATAGGGACACAGAAAATATTATGATTTTTCTCAAATCGAGTCATGATTTGAGAAAAGTCATAAATACAACATCTATCAAAAGGCACATCCATTCCAGGAAAGAACATAAATGTAGGACTAGAAATTGGGGAATGGGGGAAATGTAATGGTGCCAGTATTCCACATGAAATGGGATACTTATCGTTAAGAGCCCCATGTTAAAGTGAAAGCATGCTTCATTTCCTTAAACCATGCAGGTAGGCCAGACACACTTACCACAAAAGATAGACTGAGTAAAAGATTATAGATAGGAGAAACAGATGTTTTTTTCATCTCTGGGCAATTTAATTACCAAAAATCCTAACCATTAACTAATTTTTTTTTCTGTAAATAAGAAAAAAAATTAATATTAGCTGAGAAAACTCTAGTCTATCTTTGAAAATATTATTGTTCTACAAAACAATTTATGAATGATAAATCTGATCAAACTCTTCATCTGATATACAATCAGCTGTGGAACTGAGAGACTGAATGTCTTGACATGATCCCCCAGGTAATTAGCAGATTCCAGACACAAAGCCAAATCTCATTTCCAATTCACTACTGACTTCCTTCTACAACTGGTATGTATATGTTTGTAAGTAAGATAGTTCAAGGTGGAACATAAATATTTGGCAATTTAGGTTTGCTTATGTTTTTGTTGTGAAGGATGTTTATTTTTATTTTAGGTTTGTTTTATCCATGGAAACCTCTACTGACTCCAAAATACTTACATATTTCTGATTTAAAGATGCAACATAATAAAGTATTTGAATGTGGATTCTGCTTTGAAATACTAGATGTTTAAATTGAAAAATGTCCAATGACATTTCTACACATCTTCATTTCATATTATTTAAGAACATAAATTATTTTAGTCAGCCTTATTCATTAGTTAATATAACAACACAAAAGTAAAACAAATATTTGATTCACAAATTTGTCCATTATTCTTTACTATAATAGGCACTTAGATAGGCCTTAGGCATAACATAAACTTTTCAAGTCTTCTTATATCAAAAGATACAGTATAAAGAAAATTTATAAATAATTTTTGAGATAAATATAAAAAAAGATATACAGAGAATGAGTCAATATTTTTCAAATTATTAATATGCAAACAAATACCTATAGCACACTAAGGATATTCTGTAAGATTTTTAGTGAAGGAATATAGTAGTCTAGAATGGGGGGCATAACTTTGAAAATATTATCAATACTTGCTTTATTTCAGGACATTTTGCTTTCGAAGTAACAAAATATGTTCTCATCTGTGTTTAAATAAAATAAATATTTTTCTATTTCAACAGCTCTAAAAATAATTAGCATAACCAGTTAATTTCTATCTTTACCTGAAAGAATGCATCTTTTCGACTTAGAGGTATGCTCATGAAAAGTGTCACATAACTTTCTGAAATTCTATCAAACAAGGAATCTTGATTTTGTTTGTCAGGCTTAAAAATAAAAAACGTATGGAATTATCATTAATATTACAATTTAAAATTAAAATTTGTTTCCATAATGTCAGTAATTTTGTCTATTCTTACGAGCAGATCAGTCGTTACAGTGAAATGAGTATGGGTTTTGGCATCAGGCAGACCTGAATTTGAATGTTGGCTCTGTTATTTCATTAGCTGCATTACCCTGTACAAGTTAATTAAGTCCTAGTTTCCTCATATGCTAAATGTTGATAATATATACATATCTTAAGATAGAACAGGGATATAATTAAATTAAATAAGAACAAGGATCATGTTTTGTCTGACTGTAATTCAAGCTCTCAGTGCAGTGCCTGGCACATAGAAAACACAAAAATGTTTGATGAATTAATGAAGGTTCTTGCATAGTATTTGGCATGCAGAAGTCAGTCAATGACTTAGTTACCTTCTGTTGTTCTATAACCATTCTAATTCTTTCATTATCAGTAACTCAGTACGAAATTAAAGGAATTACTGGGATGAAACAGCCATAGACAGAACTAATAAAATTGTGACATGATAGCTAAACTGAAAGCAATGTACGTTGCGAGAAGAAATCTATAGATAATAATGACAATATTACAGTAAAGTCCTAATGTAGCACCCTGAATTATTGCTCTATTAAGCAAAAGAGAGATGAATTAGTCAAAATCATGAATTAAGCAATAAAGATGAATTAAAGAGCCAAATTCATGTATAATGTCAATTGTAGAAGCACATTGGCATTAATAAATTTTGATAAGAAACACCAAAAATTACCAAATTTAGTGGTAGTCTTCTATGAAATTATCAAGCCAAATGAGCTGAGATTTATAAATGCATAGGATCTTAGACCTAAAATGGAAGTTAGATATTACCTACATTCAGTCCCTCTATTCTAGTGATCGCACTGGTACTCAGAAAGATTAAGAGGATTATTCAAGGTTATATAGTTAAGTAAATGAGAGCCAGACTAGGTCTTCTCACTCCCAATACAGCTCTTACACTTGTGTAAAAGGTTTATGGGAGGAAATAATAGCAAAAAATAATAATGATAATGTTAATAGTTAGCAGTTCTTGATCACTTGTTTAATAGGCAGTGGTTCTAAGATATAAGGTTGTGTGTGAATTAAATGAGAATTTATATTTTTTTTCTTTTTTTTTTTACTTGTCAAAAAGTTAGAATGCTTCAATTGCACAATCTATACTTAACAGGTCTGAAGAAAAAAAATTTACCCAAACAGAAAGTTCCAGAATATGTCTTTGAGTAATACAAAACAACCTAGTGTCCACATCATATATATCTCCATAGGAGACGCAGTAGCAAAATGGTATGGTCATTTTTGTAAATGTTTTGGTATGCTTGAAAAGAAAATGTATCCTGCAGCTGTTGGGTATTCGGGTTACTGACATATTCATTAGATCAACCTATTTAACATATGTTAAATCATACTCGCATTCCAGGAATAAATCTCACTGGTCAGAGAGTATAATCTTTTCAACACGCTGCTAAATTTGGTTTGCTAGTATTTTGTTGAGGATTTTTGCATCAATATTAATCATAGAGGATATTTGTCTATAGATTTTTTGTTTCCTGTAGTATGCTTTGGTGTCTGGGTAATGCTTGCCTCATTAAATGAGCTAGAAAATGTTCACTCCTCTTCAGGTTTTGGAAGAGTTTGAAAAGAACATCGTGTTCTATTACAATAATAACAATAATAATAAAATAGATGTATTCATTGAACACTTACTGCATTCCCAGTTCCATGCAAACAAGCAACTTTACATGCATTTTCTCATTTAACACCCCCATTAAATTTCTAAGGTAAGCAATTTTAAAAATGTTATCAGTGACTTAGAGAAGTAAATAACTATTCAAGGTCACATCAATTACTAACTGGAAAAACTTGTTTTAACTCTATTATACTGAATCTCAATCCCATATTACATTTATATAGCATTTTACTAGGTGTCTTCTTATTCATGTCATTTTTAATACACACAATAACCCTTGGAAAACAACACTTAGAAACAAGCAGAGTATATGTTATTTTCTATCTTTGTTTTATTTTTTAGAGATGAGGTAAGAGAAGATAAGAGAGATTTTTTTTTTATTTGTTTGTTTGTTTTGATTAGTCCAAAGTTTCACACTAAATACTGGGAAAACAAGATCTAAATTTTAGTATTCTGGGTTCAAGTACATCAGTTTTTTCTACTAGATCAAGCTATCAGTAAATCATAGACAATAAAGAAAGAAAATTTGCTTTTATATTAATCATATAACAATTATTGAAATAAGTTTTAGAGTTAGCATGCTGAAACATGCTCTAGTATTCTAGAGTATGATTATATATTTTTCATATTATACTATTGGTAATTAAATTGTATAAGTGGCTTATGGTTTTATTATATTCCAGTTGTAAAATCATTATTATTTATTTTTCATTAAGTGGGCTACAAAGTACATAGAATTCATGTGTTTTGTATTCATCTGAAAATGTAGCACACCTTGAAATAGGAGCATACCTAACTAAACTAAAATGTTCAAGGAGTGGCTCTATTTCCACACAATGCTGGTAAAAATGTGTGGGTGTCCCACCACATTATTTGATGGATTTAGGGATCTAAGAGGTCATGTTATTTATATAGTTCACTGGCTTCTATATATGTATATATAATATATACATATATCAAACAATGAACCCTCTTAGAAATAAATTCATAGATGAAATGCAATGAACAAGACCGATGAAAGAGGAACTATTCTGTTTAATTCAAGGAAAGGTTGCTTCAATTTGATCTGGATCCCCTAATTGTCCCTTAGAATACTAGCAGGACACTGATTCAGCTGAATCACATATCGCTCTTCAAAAGACATCAAAAAGAGTAAATTAAACTGGAAATTCTATTACATTATGATATTTTTAAATGATTACATTTTAATTTCAGAAAGCCAGTAGTGTCAAGAGAATAGTTTAAAGATAAAAAAATTCTATTTCCTTGTTATTCCAAGAATAATCTTATAAATCCTAAAAATGTAGGGGGCATTAATATTTTTGTGTCAAGTCTATGTTTATTCAGAATAATAAAATACTATTATAGCTTGATATAGTCACTAGAAATTTTACTAAGTTATTTCCTTCAAAAACTTGTTATATATAAACGTAACAAATTTAAGTGGGAAAGCAAGGTTTCTCTCTGTTATCCTGGAAAAACATAAATTTAAGATCCAGATCTAGAAAAATATATAAGGTAATAAAACTCCCCTGATTTCATAAATTTCCCTAGGTACCTTTGCAGAATTGATATACCACTTTCTATGCCTCACTCCTAACAATATCAGAAATATAGGAAAGATACTTTTACCTAGAATTACATTAATTATCCTAACACAAAGCACTATCTGAATGGTTTGTATGTAAAATTCATAACACCCATTCCTTCATGGTATGAAATTTCTATGAGGATTCATAAGCAGTTTTCTGTGGGTAATTTGAGCTGGGGAAAGGTGTAGAGTTGAGTCATTTTCAGGCTGTAGAGGTGTAGAGTTGAGTCATTTTCAGGCTTTCTTGATGGGGTGGCACACCTTAATGCTTAGACTGTGATCTCCTAGGTTGCTCTATTTTCCATTCTTTCAGCTCCAGAGGCTACACAGCAGTCATTGGTATTCATCACTTTTTCCAGGCTTACATATTCTCTAACATAAGATTCATGTGCTGCTTATTTCCTTTCTCTTACTGTTTCCAAGATAACCACATCTTTCTCTTTTAAGTCCTAATCAGTCTTTACCTTTTTGAATCAAGTGAGGACCCTCTTTCCATCTGATCTGTAGACTGTTTTCTAAATGAAAACCTTCAATGTCACTAATTTGCAGTAAGTTTTCTGTTTATCATCAGCACATTATAGTATCGAGTGAAGCTACAACTTTATTATTCACTACAATGTTTGATTTCACTATTCTTTTTCTGATTAATGAAGACCGGGGTTCTTCAAAATCATATTAAAGTCAACTCTTCTGAAAGAACTCTAGATTTCGAATAGGATTTCTAACGTGGGGAATACTAAAAAACCAAGCTCCGTGAAAGGATCCAGAATAATATTTTTTGCACCAGTGCTACGTCTAGCAAAGAATAAATTACGCTGCAAATCAACCTAAAAAAAGTTTGAAACATATCATTATACCTTAAATTTATAGAGAAACCACCACCAAAAGGCATCATGCAAAAGAGCAATAGAGGCTTCTGAGAGAAAATGCGTCTTCCAGATTTTGAAAATTTTTTCCTATGGAAAAAAAAACAAACAAATAGAGATAAAAAAATTACATTATAAAATACATAATTCATGTGCATGTAATTAATGTAAATAGGCTTTATAAAGAGTATATGTTCAATAGTTATAGATTAGCACTATTCAACAGAAATTTAATATGGAGCCAATATACATAATATTAAATTTTCTAGTAGCCACGTTAAAAAGTAAAAGATAAAAGGTGAAATTAATTTTAATGACACTTAGCCAAATATATTTAAAAGATTATCATTTCTACATATAATTGTTGTAAAAATTATTAATAAAATATTTTACATTCTTTTTTGGTACTAGGTCTTTGAAATATAGTGTATAATTAATAGAACATCTCAATTTGAACAGTAAATTTTCATCATAAATACTATGTAAGTATTTAGACTTCATAAAATACATGGTTGTAATTTTATTTCAACCATAATCAAAATTTTTCAATAACTAAATCAAATATTAGTTTTTGAATTTATATATAAATTAATTAAAATAAATAAAATTTAAAAATTCAACTAGGTCGCACTAGCCACATACATATGCTCAATAACTACATTTGGATAGTAGTAGAGATGATAGTGTAGGCTAGACCAAAGATAGCAAAAGTCCAAGATACATGCTACAATTTCCTTTATACTGAAGATATATCAATAATCATGGAATTCTATCCTAATGAAACCCATTATAACTCTAGACATATCGAGCCATAGTGTTTTCTTTAAGCAATTGAACAAAATTGACATATAAGGTTAAAACTATTTACTATGACTACTACAGACTATAAATTGTGGTTTAAATAAATCTTTTTATCTTATTCAATTAAGAGTTTTTAAATTCCAGATTCAGTAGAGCTCAAGAATTCTTTTAATGAAATACATAAGTATAAATTCCTTTTTCTCAAGTGCAAGTCTACATAAAAAGACATGGTGCAAACTTTTATACCAAGGTCATTTATCACATATTTTGAGGGACCACTTCTCTTTCACAGGCCACTTAGTATGAAGTACATAGGTAACAGCATCAACTTAGATTTAGTACTTCTTAATTACAGAGAACATATGTAAAGTACATAAAAAAAAAAAGAAAAAAGTCGAAAACTGAAATACAGAGGAGAAAGTCGAATACTGTTGTTTAAATGATTTGCAAATATGCTTTTTAGTATAAATTAATTGCGTGATTGCTTCTATTTTAAGTTTTGGTTATGTTTAGTATCACTAACGCTGCTTTTTCAAAACAATTCCAAATTCTTTAAAATATATTAATACTTAGTGAAAACAACTAAAAAGTTGAAATTAGCAAAAGAAAACCCAAAACTAGCTTAAAAAGTTAAATGGTTCTCCCCTTCCCACCCTCTACTCCCCTGTCCACTTTTGTGATACTTTTTTGATTCAAGTAAATGTAAACATACCTTAAAACTTATAGATTGTCTGACTTGGAACTAATATTGACTCTAGTTTGGACAAAATTATTTCTGATGTTGTTTTGAATTTCTATTTGGGTATATAAGTATGCTTGTGGTTGAGTTTTCTTCCATATCCATAATATAGGCCCTTTTCACTTGATTTAATTCAACAAAATTTTTACTGAGCATCATCTGTAGCCAAGGCTTTGTTCTGGGTGGTACAGGGAATAATACATACTTTCTTTCATTAAAAAACTTGATCTCTGATTATGTGTGCAGGAATGTGTTTGGATAGGATTAGGAGAATTCAATCAACTCAGTGAATTTCATACCTTCGAGCATGTAACAGAAGCCCTTTAACCTCTCTTTCCAAGTTTTGGATGTGTAAGTTCAGCCTCCTGGTAAATTATTGTAAGAATTTCTATAAAATAACCTTCCCTCCATTATTTTTATTTTTCTACACTTTCACTCTAATTTCATCATGTATTTATTTTAATGCCATTGCATTATACATGCTCTAGTAAGCCAATTTAAATTCTTTTTTGAAATCGGGTAGGGGTATTAACAAACAAAATACTGGGTATCTATATCAGATATGCATTTGATACACAAACTCATAATATCTTAACCCAGTTGCTGGTTGTATACACTCCTAACCATCCATATCTACTTCCAGTCCTCATTTTCCTATTTCTTTCAGTAATGCCAGCATCCTCCAAGTTAACCATACTAAAAATTTCTCATAGCTGTACTTCTATGCTTTGTTTATATGATTGCCTTGTGATATGTGTTAGGCGTATATGCATTGATCGTTAAAATGTAGTCCCATCTTAGAACTCAAATGTTAGAATTATAAAAAATATTATAGATGAGCTAGAATATCATTCATGAAATTGTTTTTGAAATAATTTGTATTAATTTTTATAACAATAAAATCTTTTCCCTGAGGCAACTTTGGAAAATACAGTTAGAGAAAGGAATAAATATGCTCATGACTCAGGCCTAACAACAATCTGCATCTGTAGTTTTTCTCTATAAAAATGGAACCAAGTGATTGTATTCAGCAGGCAGACTAAACCTTCCCTCTCACAAAAATCCTATAAAATATGAAAGAGAATTGAAAAACATTTGTATTAGCATGGAAAATAAAAGAGAGTGTCATTACTGAATCATTTTAGGTGAAAATGTCAATTGAGGTGCCCCGTGGTTTCCTACCTGAGGGGCAAACAGGAGATCCAAATAGGTCCATCACACTTTTCTTCTTGAAACACTGCATTTTCAATATACAGTACTAAAGAGATACACTCTCTTTCATCTTAAAGAGAGTGAAAAAAGGGCAAAAAATAATGGCTGGGACGGATTCATCCAGGTTTAATGGTTGATTATGTTACTTCTGATGAACCACAGAGGACGACAGTAGGAGGAAATGCAACATGGATTTCGTGTTGAGAAATAAAGAGCCACAGGAAGGCTGGGGGTGAGAGAAAGAAAAGAGGGCCTACTAGGGGCCAAGTACATCTCAGAGAACTGTCTGAAAGGAATCTGCCTGGGATTACAAGGAGCATTGTTTAAGTCCCTAGAAAATAGAAACTTTATTAGTTAACTACCTAACATACATATGGGTGGGAAATCAATACTAGTAACCACTCAACCCTCAGCCTACCTCTGGCATTCAAAGACCAATGATCTAGTTACCTTCCTATACCTGCAGGGTTTTTTTTATCAGTTGGCTACCCTATAGATATACTACTCAAAAACTGTCCATATACTTGGAGGCTGAATAGGTGGGGTTGTGGAGAAAAGCTCTCATAAGTTATTTTGGGGTCAAAATGAGCAGGCTAAAATGTCCCGAGCTGATAGAGCAGGAAGAGGGAGGCAGAAAATAGCTGCTATAGTCACATGCCAAGCCAATGCACACTAGCATCCTCAGACACCTGAGGCAGGAACACAGAGTCTAATACATTCTCTCTGGTGATCAGGGTGTACATCACTGGTCTTTCCTGCCAGACTTAATGCTCAAAGAACTAAATCTTGCTTAAACACCTAATTTGTCAGATTTTTTAAAAAAACGGTCTGATTTATTAAATCATACTCAAAATTTATAATACAATAAAAATGATATAATATTTACATACATCAAAGTTATGGGCTTTTAAAATAAAAAGATAAATTCGTTCAGCATCCAAATGTCTGGGTAATTGAGTGAGCTCATTTGTTTTGAATCCTGAGAAGTTGCAACCCTAGAAAGAGGAAATATCACATAATAATAATTACTTCACTTTTTTCAGTTCAGTAGTCTCATATGACTACAAAAGACAGATAAATGCTTAACTATTATTAATTAATTAATTATTTTACTTCTTTTTATGAAAATAAATGAAAAATATTCACTCTACCTAAGAAAAATCTTCAGATTTTCTGCTTCTCTGAAATTCAGAGCCCTGGCATATACACCGAGTCCAAAAGCAAAACAAAATTATATTTCAGAACTAATTTGATATAACTCAAATGATCAAGAATTTTAGCAAGACTATACATAAAGAAATGGACGAGGCAGAAACAGAAAACTTCTATACCTGTTCTTAACTTTCTCCTAGGGCCCCTATTTCTATTTATAGTTGCATCTACATTATTAAAAACATTCTTTTACCTCCATATAATACTTTGATATATGATTTCATAAAACAGAAAATTTAAATACCTCTACATTCTTCTTTGTCTCCATCTCATCTGAAAGCTGAAAAACATTTTAAATAAAATCATTAAAACTCTAAATTAAAGAATTTTTATAGTTGGTAAATTTGTTCAGTTAATGTGTGTGTGTGTGTGTGTGTGTGTGTGTGTGTGTGTGTGTGTCCTATTGAGGCCTAGAACGCTGTTTCTGTGTTAGATGCTAGAAATACAAAGACAGTCCTTCCCTCAAGTTAGTCATAATTCAAGAAGGGAATAAGATACATATACAATGTATAGGAAGATGCTGAAGTCAGCTATGATGCAAGTATAACAGCCTCAACTGACCCTAAGAAGAGTTCTAAAACTGAAGGAGTCCATTATAGTTGTCCTGTATTGAATTGAAATAGCCAGGCCTTTCTGCCTCCAACTTGATGAATCATTGGATATTGATGGTTCCTATAAGGGCATGTCCTCAGGAAGAGAAGTTCTCTGTAGATGAGGCAACACATAAAGGGGCTGACAGCTAAAAAGTGTTCCCTAATAGCCCTCTTAACAGCTAGGGTAACAGGTCATTCCTTGAAGGGGAATCTAAGTGGCACATCTCCGTGTTTACCATACTACTTTACACAGAGAATAAGTAGCCCTCTGAATACATTAATTTTTGATCATCTAGACATGTTTACTAATTTCCATATCCTCACTTCCTCCAGGAATAACTAATCTTACAGGCAAATTTTATACACACATTACACAATACATATATTATAGAGAAGATGACATAGAAAACAAATTTGAAAGGATAATAACAGATGGCTAACAGAAAGAGAATCACATTACTGGCATTTGAAAAAGTATGCAAAGGAATAAAAAAGAAAGATCATTTAGGGAAAGTGAGATCAATTATGATATGGGACAAGCACTACTACATATAAGATATAAATTATTAAATAACAAGAAGATGAAATGTATACATTGTCTTCAAATAACCTCTGTGATGTGAAAATGCCAACACTCTAATATTGTGTGTGAAGAAGAATATGAGTCCAGCTTTTTTAAAAACCCAGAGATAGAGTATGGAGAAACATGGCGGATTAAGAGACATCCTTAGATCTCTCCCCTAGAAACAACAATAAGCTGAACATCTAAAATTCAACAAAAAACACTCAAACTTCACACCAGTACATTTGAGCATAGGATGTGTACATAGAGCTACCACAGGAATGAGCTGGAGCTTGGAATTCAAGAAGTCAACAGAACACCCAATTATCTCAACCCAAAAAGGCCTTCACCAAGACACATTGTATTAAAATTATCAAAAATCAACAACAAAGACAGAATTCTCAGGGCAGCAAGGGAGAAGAAAACAGTATCTTATAAAGGAAAACTCATTAGATTATCGTCAGACTTCTCAGCACACATCTTTTAAGCCAGAAAAGAGTGGAATCACATATTCAAAATATTAAGTGAAAGGAACGTATAGCCTAGAATAATGTATCCAGCTAAGCTCTACTTTAGACATGAAGGAGAAATTAAGACATTTCCAGACATACAAAAATTGAAGGAATTCTCCACTATGAGGCCTGCACTACAGGAAATATGGAAAGGGGTCAGCTCACCTCAAACAAAATAACAACAACAAAAATTATACTTAAGAGTAAGGTGACTATCAGGCAAATAGAAGCAGAGAAGTGCATTATACGAACAGGGCATTATAAGCTTAAACAATAAGAAGAGAATTGCTATAGAAAGATAGTAATGAACTTTCAGCATCCATAGAGACAAATTGACATAACAATGACTGAAAAGGGGAGGATTCAAAGATCCAGATTCACAGAGGGGAATGGAGATAAGGTACGCACAGAATAAAATGGACGAATATATATATATATAACTATCCTTTACATACTCACAAGGGTAACCGCACACAGAAGATTCAGAACTGAAGTATATAACGTAAAACAAGAAGAACCAGAGGCAGGACCCACAAAAGCCAACCAGACTAAAGAAAGCAGAAAA